GGATTCGGAAGGAGGGTTGCGGAACATGTGGCGGTGAGGGGGGGGTCAGGGGACGAGGGTTGCGACGCCTGGGGGTCGTCCGATGGGATGTGCGGCACCGAAGAGGGGGAGGTAGACATATTGTCGATGTCAAATGGGTCACCAGTGGGCTGGGGATTGTCATCGATGGGATGGACGACAGACTAGTCGTCGATGCCGGGGCGGGTTCGTGGTGATCCTGGGGACTGTGTTCAAGTGGAGGAGGGACCGGAAGTGGCGAATACGAAAGCGGCGGGTCGGGGGACCGCGGACCTGGGTGCCTGACGAGTGAACTGTCCGACATTTGGACAATTTGTTTGTTGATGTCCTAGCTGTCGGCACCGGAAACAACCACCGTTTGCTTGGAGGTAGGTTCGCTCCTCCGACGTGAGTTTCGTGCGATGGGTTGGGTGGGTGTTTATGGGAGGACGGCTGGTGCGTTCTCTCTTTTCCATCCGCATAAGGTGGATGGCGGAGAGTTCGTCGGAGGAGAGCGATGTGGTGTCGAGTGGGTCGGAGAGGGTGTCAGGGTCGGGGGTGCAGAACTTGTAGGAGGAGGCAGAGAGAAGGGTTTCGTCAGTGATGTTATGAAAGAATCGTGGGCGGGGTGGGGCGGATGTGAGTGCGTCCTTGTACGGGGTGAGGAATTTGTCTAGGTGGATGGCGTGGTTGAAGAGATCGGAGATGGACATCGGGGGGGGGTCGTGAGCAAGAGGCGGCGAGATCCTTGCGGCATCCCCGTTTGAAGCGGGAGATGCATGCGGCATCACTGACGTAGTCAAGGGGGATATGTTGCCGCAACGCACAGACGTATTGGACAAAACGGTCGGTCGGGCCGTTCTGTCGAAGGCGGTAGAGTTGCTCAAAGTAGTCATCAACCGTCTTATGCGGTCGAAACGTGCAGGTGATGAGGTTGGCCCACTGAAGGAAGGAATGGGGTTCCTCGTTTGCGTGTTGGCGGTTAGCTCGTTCGGTGTACCACTAACGAGCGGCGCCTTCCTGTAGCCTGGTGCTGGCAATAGGGAGCCAGTGTGTGACAGGGACATTGTGGAGGGAGAAGGCATCGTATAGTTTGCTGAGAAAGACGAAGACGTCCTCATGGGGAAGGTCGATGAAGGGGGGAATATCCATCGGAATGTTACCCGTTAAGGGTGTTGTGGTGGCGAGGGTGTTGAAGTCAAGTTTGGGTGAGGAGGACGGTACCCGAGTGAAGTCGATAGTGGGATTGGTTGGGAGGAGTGTGGACGGAGGAGGTATTGGGATAACAGGGAGCAGGGCTTGAGGTGTGGGGGTGATCTGGGTATGGGTGGAAGTGATAGTGGATGAAGTCATGAGGAGTTTTGACTAGGAGGGAATGGTTGTTGATTGCGTGACGGCGGGGGTTGTCGTCTTGGTGACCAAGGTGGAGGTAGTGGTGGATGAAGGCGGAGTGTGGATGACGTGCTAGGCGGAGGTGCTGATGACGTGCTAGCGGAGAGGGCGGTGGACGTGGGGGACAGGGTGATTGATGTAGATGTGGAGGCGGAGGACGGGGGGTGGTGGCACCCGAGGTGGGGGGAGGGATGTGGTGGTGACGACCTGGATGGCGGGGGTGTGACTTTCAATGGTGGTCACGCGAGCAGAGATGGTGGAAATGAATGTTTTGATGTCCTCCATGGATGACTTGAGAGATATCATCATGTGGAAGAGAGCCGCGAGGTCGATGGCGGCATCTGGTGGTGGTGTTTGCTCGCCTGCGAGGTTGCGGGCGATGCTGTCGAAAGAGTCGGTGCGGATGCCGGACATATCAATGCTGGATGATTGGGGAGGAAGCGGTGGTAGCAGCGGCTGAGGAGTTAGCAGCAGAGGAGGTGGAGGCGGCGGCAGCAGCGGCGGCTTTGGCGGGGCGTTGAGAGGTCCTGGTCGAGAGGGGGGGGGGGGGGGGTTGTTCCTATTTACAAGAGCATCAAAAGAAGATAATTTACAAAAAAATAATTTTTTCAAAATTAAAATAGAATAATTCCGATTCGAATTAATTAATGTTATTCGAGGTTAATTCGAGAGTACGCCTTAGGAAGAAATTCAAGAAGAATCCAAAGGAGGAAAACTTGCAAAACGAAATTTTCCAAAAAAATTTGCTGAAAATATCAAAAAAGGGAAAAAAGGAGATAATTAATTCCGATTTGGGTTTAATTTTATTCGAAATTAATTTTGGGGTATGGTTTTGCAAAAACGTGAAAATTTCCCGAGTCTTAAGAAAAGAAATGCCGAGTCTTAAGAAAAGAAAAAAGAGGGATTTTAAGAAAAGAAAAAAAGAATTGATCACAAGGCGTTTTCGAATTTCAAGAACATTGCGAAAAATAAAAAGAGGGATTTTACGAATTAAGATATTCGAGAAAAATAATTAATTAAAATTATTTTTGAAAAAAAAAAAAGAAATATAGAAAAAGAATTTAAATTATTTAATTAATTCCAACGTATTTCAAAATTTTCGGAAAAGAATGAATAAAACGTAGTTTCGAATTTTAAAAAAATGTCAAAAAAGAATTTAATTAATTCTGAATTATTTCGAATTACACAAAAAAATAAATCGAAAAAGAAGTAATTAAAATTATTTTCGAATTTCAATGAAGAAATGCCGAGAAAGAATAATCCTACGTATTTTAGAAAGAGAAAATATTTTTGAAAAAGAAATGTCGAGAAAGATAGTTAATTAAGTACTTTCGAATTTACAAGAATTTCAAATGGATTCTAAAAAAAAAATTAAAAAAATGATAAAGGAATGAGTTTTGATGTACATCGAGGGCGGAGCGATCCTATCTACTATTGATTGGGTGGTAGGGTAGTAAGTAGGGTTAAAATGGGGGGGGGTTGCACAGGTAGATGGGTGATGGTGATGATGATGATGATTTGGGGGGGGGGGGGGGGGGGGGGGGGGGGGGGGGG